CCGCGCTGTTCTGGCCAATGTGGGATGGGGGGAGGAACAGGTGCGGGAGGGTATAAGAGGGATGACAGGTGGGCGTGTTGGTTTGGTTCTGTTGGCGGGCGATGGTGAAGTTCTGGGAGATGTGTTGTTTATTCTTTTATTATTTTCTTGAGAGAGCACATGGTGCCAGTTCAGACAGCGTTTTCATTTGTCTCCATAATGCATTGCAATAAAACCACAAAAAGACAAACCGGGTGTTCTCCTCCTTGTTGAGCCAGGTGCCGGCACACTGCTGGCTAGTTAACTGTCAAGTATAGGACAGGGTCAGACCAGCTCCTCTCAACCGAGCCAGCGGTTGTCACAATACTGTATTTTTTTCAATAATCTGTGGTAAAAGCAACTAAATTTATCAAATGCATGTTGTGCTGTAAAATGTACAGTATTTGCCTCTAAAATGTAGTGAAGTCAAAGCAAAAAAAGAGGCAATAAGTACAATAGAGGTACATCAAAATTGTACTTATGTACATACTAGCTACTTTCCACCTCTGTATCAGAGCGGCCCTGCTAATCCAGTGTTAAACTTTATTTCATGTCACATATTAGTTATTATTCAAATTCTGGAGTAACAATCTTTAGGAACTGCTGCAGCTCCTCTTGATTTTTCAAAGCTTAATTTCTCTCATCTCTTTGTGTTCACAGGTTTTGTGAGGATGGACATCCAAGGCCCAAATCAGCAAGTATGACAAAAAACTGGTAAGTGAATTGCCCATGTAGTATCCTCCACCCAGAAGTTCATTGTATTTCACTAGTAGTGAAAGGTAACACTGTCCCCCACTAACTGTGTCAGTCTGCAGTTTAGTGTTGAGTGCGTAGCGTAGCCAAGAGTAGAAATACAGGAATAAAATATGGAGTTAAAAGACATAAAAAAAATTAAAAAAAACCGCTAGCAGGGCTGAATGATTAATAATTTTCAATTCACAAAAGGTGCGATTTAAACTGCCATTGAAATGTGGTTTTAAGTGCTATAGATTCTAAACAATCTGAGCGGCGTCCGACCGACTTCAGGAGCGCACACTCTGCCCCTGCTCCGCAGGCTTCACGTGGACTCTGCAGATTAAATGAGTGCGTAGAACAAGACAGACCAGTAAGAGTTACTTTGGTGCTGCTGGCGCACTAAAAATAGCTACAGGAGTCAGCAAAACCAGGCGTCAACGATCAAGAGACAACACTGACGTTAAAGCGAAACAGCAGGCTACATCGGTCCTCTGGACCTGTTTTGGTTTTACACCAGAGGTTGCACACCAGGAATGTGCTGAAGCTACCTGGCTAAAGTGGTGACAATGTAAGGTAATGCCACAAATTAATTCCAGCATTAAAAAAGCACAACACAGTTGCCATATGTCCTTTATAAAACAGGGCCGTCAGTTTCGATAAAAAAATACTCTGTGCTTGCCGTATTTGCTGTACAAGTTTGCCCATACTGAATCAAAAAAGGATGCAATTTCTCATTTTAAATGCTTACATCTATTGTCCACAGTGGATGAAACCATTGTAATATTAAGTAAAATTAACCCAGTTTAGAAAAGCTCTGAATTCAGGATCTTTGTCATGGTGGGAGCTGAGGGTTGGGTTCCTTGCTGTTCAATTTGCTTTGTATTAAATTGCATTTTTATTTTACACTTTCCTCTCCATAACTAGTTATTTGGCTGAAGACTAGAGAGTGTCAAACTGGACAATACAGCTGTGAAGACAAAACAGGCATCTTTTCCTCTTTCACTCATAAAATTCTGCAGACCTGAGGCCATCACAGACTTTGAGTAGTTTATTTGTGTATTAGAATTTCAGATGAAACCAGAGCATAAAACTAAGCTATACACCATCACCCTGCTAAACAAACTCAGTCTAGCTTCCTTATGCTATAGGTGTTTATGCTGGATTCACTGGGAGCTGTGGTCCCGAATCTGTTGACTGCACATTTACTGCTGCTAGATGTGCTGAAGTATTTGAAGCATTTAATATTTTTTTGAACTTCTTTTCTCTGCCACCGTTGTTTTCTAAAAACTTGATTCATGTAAAATGAGTTAACCATACTCACTGCTACTCCCTCAGTGTTTAACAGTGATAATGGTATGACGGTAACCAGGTGGCAGAGACGCAGGGCTGAACTGACAATTAGTGGGGGGGACGGGGGGTGAGGAGGAGCCAGCAGACTGTGCTGCTACACATGCGTAAAGATGACAGAGCCTGTCTTTCTTTCTCATCTCACAGCTTTTCTAAACTGGTTAGGTTTTACTTAATATTACAAAGTTTTCACCACTGTGGGCAATAGATGTAAGCATTTTGCATCCTGTACCGATTTGATACAGAACAACACAGAGTGTATTATTCATTGAAATGGAAGATCCTGTAATGTAAGAGACAGACAGCAACTGTGTTGTGCTTTTTTTTAATGCTGGAATTAATTTGTGGTTCTACTTTGCATTGTCTCTACCTTAGCGAGGCAAGTTCAGCACATTCCCTATGTAACCTTTTGTCTAAAACCAACTTAGGTCCAGAGGACCAACGCAGCCTCCTGTTTCTGCTGGCACTAATGTCAATCGACGCTTGGTTTTGCTGACTCCTGTACCTACTTTTAGTGCAGCTAGCAGCACCAAAGTGAAACTTACTGCTGTGTCTTTTCTTGTTTCACTCATTAACTCTGCAGGTTCACAAAGTCTTCCGGAATGCACCTCAGATTGTTTTGAATCTGTGGCTTTTAAAACCACATTTCAATAGCAGTTTAAATCACAGCTTTTGAGATTTGAAAATCATGTTCTGTTAAATTGCAATTTTGATTTGAAAACAATCATTCAGCCATAGTTTTTAGATTATATTGAAGTCAATAATACACAATTAAATGCCCCAGAGAACGAGAGAGCAATCATATGGAAGCTCTGTATATGAGTTGAATGATGTTTACTTGTCCCCAAAGAGGGGGTGTCAGGCCATTTTCCAGACCTAACCTATCCTTGAAAACAAAGCATCCCTGAACCCTACTGTCACCCAAGCAAAGAGCAGATATGTGGCTTGACAGCACAGCATCTGCATTGTGTTGGCTCGGGTGAAGCAGTGGCTGTCCCACCTGGGTTATAGTGGCAATCACCTCTGAGAGCCGGGTCCGCTCAGTTGTCCAATCACTGACACTGACCTAGTTGGAAGTTTAGTGGTATTATGACAGTTTTAAAATCTTCTGTATTATATACACCGATCAGGCATATAACATTCTGACCACCTGTACATCTGTATGCACTTCAGTGCAACACATCTGCCTTAACATCTGTGTTTATGAAGCTCAAAATGTTTGTTTTGGATGAGATTGTCATAAATGTATAAATTCAATTATATGTTTATTATTGCAGTTATAGTTAAAGATGGTGTTGTATTGGACTACATTATATTCAGAGGGGTCTGTATATTTGTATCTTGCCCATTGACATACATGAGAAGGTCAGAATATTAGGAACACCTCTGAATATAATGTGGTCCAGTACACCACCACCGACACCAACTATGGCCTCAATAATGAACATATAAATGAATTTAAACATTTGACAATCTTCACCATAAACAAACATTTTGAGCTTCATGAACACAAATGTTAAGGCAGAAGTGTTGCATTGAAGTGCATACAGATGTACAGGTGGTCAGAATGTTGTGCCTGATCGCTGTATGTTTGAGATGTTTGTTTTGTATGTCATCTTTTTCTATTTTCAGCTGCTACCGTTAGGGGTCGCCACAGCGAATCATCAGTTGTCACCCAACTGACGATGCGTATGCTAAACTTGGCATGTTTTACACCAGATGCCCTTCCAGCTGAAGTCTACTTTAGCCGCCAGTCAACTTAACCTACATGTCTCTGGACTGGGGGAGGAAGCCGGAGCACCTGGAGAGAACCCACGCAAGCACAGGGAGAACATGCAGACTCCACACAGAAAGGCACCAGGTCAGCCCGGGGTGCGAACCCGGAACCTTCTTGCTGTGAGGCGACAACTTGTTTTGTATGTAAAGTCTGTTTGTTATTTAAAAAGCAGAATATTCATTAAATAAACGGTTTACAACACTGCAGCATATCCTAATATTATTGTATGTTACGTGGATGAATTAAATGCATTTTTTGAACAACAGCTTAATGTCGTCTTGTTTTGAAATGTATTTTCCAGTTGTTGCGGTGAGTAACTCAGATAACAGTAAGAACAGAGGAATCCTGTGATATACAGATAAGTTTCAATTAATGGTAAAACTGTCAACAGCAAAGACAGAAGTATTGTATGTAAGAGTACATTTGCTGTAATATCAATTACATAGCATCTTGTTGGCTAATTGCAGCCAGCAAAATTGTAAAAACTGCTGTTTTAAGTAATTTTCTAATTGTGTGATTAACTGGATAGTAAGGCAATAGTTTTCCTGTAATTAAAATGAATGAATACTGTAGTCTTGCCCAATATAAAACAAAAATAATATGAATCTACATAAAACAAGAAAAAAAAGGTCCCACTTTGGTTGAACTGGTCCTTGCTGGTAGACAAAGACCACCTGTGACAATGGATCACAAGTCAACTTTCCTTTGTTAAAATACCTTTGCTTACTGTTATCTGAAATACATGCCAAAAACAGTTTAATATGTTGATGATGTTTGGACTATAAATTCATCCACAAAGCAAGTCACCACTCCAGATGTCAGATAAATGTAGCGGAGTCGACAACATTTCGTTCTGAAACAGATTAGTAGGAGCATAGAGAAGCAGATCATGGAAATACTACAATGGACTTCACCACTGCTAATGTGTAGCATAATGTTTAAGTCCCATTACTCATTTGCAATAATGTAAATGGGTTCTAACCATGCTTGTGAACAAACTAAGAACAAATAAATGAACAGTGGAATTAAAAATGCAACCAGAGAGATTTGGCATTTAGAAATAAATCTCTGTGAAGGTGTTTAAACCACTTGCTGTACTGTCATGAGTCAAAAAATTACTTACCTTTTCTGTAGACTGTGAAGTGCCAAAGAAGATTGGGATGAATGCTAGCCAAATAATGCAGGTGGTGTACATGGTAAAACCAATGGGTTTGGCCTCATTAAAGGTCTCCGGCACCCCTCTGGTTTTAATGGCGTAGACTGTACAGGTGACCATAAGCAGCATGCTGTAGCCCAGCAGACAGATCAGAGACAGGTCAGAGATGTCACACTTGAGCAAACCACGAGCCAGCACCGGGTTAGATGTCCGCTGGTCCTCGTAGTCAATGATGGCCTTGGAGGTATCCACACAAAACCAGATGCACACACCGAGCAGCTGCACTGAGGCCAGGGTGAACGTGATGACTAGCTGGGAGGCTGGAGAAATGAACCTGGGTGCACTCACCGACATGCTGCCCTGCTCAAAGATGCGGTAAATACGATTGGTTTTGGTAAGCAGGGCAGCATAACTGATGCTCATCCCTAGACCCAAGAAGATCCTGCGCAGGGAACAGATTCCTACATCAGGGGTGGAAATCATCAGGAACGTTGTGGCATAACAGAGGAAGATGCCAGTTAGCAGCACATAGCTCAGCTCTCGCCCTGATGCTTTCACAATGGGAGTGTCATTGTAACGAATGAACGTGACCACCACAAACAAAGTGGCCATGATGCCAGCGATGGCAATAAGCACAGGGATGACTGCCCATGGAGAGCTCCACTCCAGCTTGACAATTGGAATTGGAACACAGCCCGTGTGATTCTCATTGGGCCGCAAATCAAAGCGACACATCTTACACGTGTAGTTGTCCGCCTGGTACTGATAGCCATCACACCGCTCACAGTGCCAGCAGCAAGGGATACCCTTCACGATCTTCTTGCGCTCACCGGGCTGACAGGGATGGCTGCAGATTGAAGAAGGGATCTGACGAATGCCACCAGGCCACTGCATTGAACGAACCTGCAAGGGAGATAAACATGAATGGACACAAAGAGAGAGACAAAGCCAGACAAGAAGACATCTGTGGCGCACTAAGGTGACTGTATCCTTTAAAATGGTGGCATGTAGAGGCAGTGATTCCTTATTGATCCATAAAGATCCCTAGAACCGCTGGAGGTCAACAAACAATCTAGATGGTACTTGTTGTTTGGGTGTTTAAACCTTGCTCCCACACTTAGTTTTATTTATTTATTTGAGTGGAGGGGTAGCAAAGGGCAATCTGGAGGTCAAATGAAGCATTCCTCATAGATTCAGGAAAATCTTTCCAGTAGGAGGTCACATTATCTGAAGGTCAAGACACAGGGGGAATGGGGCAATCCAATGCTTGCCCTGCAGGGAACTGACACAGTGTTGCTCTTTGTTTGTTTGCTGTGGTAAATAGCTGTTCAGAAGTCGACACTCAGCTATTGTTGATCAGAGGAATGAAAGCCAAATTCTGTTTAAAGACACTACTCTCTCTTGCGGATTTTTGCCTTTTATAAGTATACACGTAAAGATAAATTAGCCATTTCAAACAAGTCTGCTCTTTTTAATGTAATGTTATCACCTTTATTCAACTGTAGCTGTTCATTCAAAGCTGGTAAATTTGTCTCTAAATGTGCATTTAATTAAGAACTCAAAGAACACTAATTAAATGCAGCTAGCTTTAGAGTCTGAAATGGCACGTTGCACAGTAGGTGCCCACAAACCCCCTTGTTTCAGTTTTTCACAGCACATTGAAAGAGGTAAAGAAGACAAACCTCCTCTCAAGCTGCCTCATGTGTTCAATTGTACTTTCTGTGCTTGCCCAAGGCCTCCTCATCATTTTGTCAAAATATAATTTGTTTGGTTCCTTTATGTAATTTACAGTTATAATGCTGTTACTCCATCACACCCCACAGTATTGTTTTTGAAAGTCAGTGATGCCGTCTGGAGAGATGATATTAAATATGTCTGTCCTTAAGCTCTCCGGGCTCTGTTTTCATCACAGTCCGCCCTGTTAATCATTTAAAGCACCCTCTGGATATTTACACCTTTGAAGAGGAGTTAGTGAGCAAACACATAGCTGCAGAGCTGGAGAAAACAAATGCTCAGAGAAGGATTTTCATTGCAAACACTGACACAAATGTAACACAATTGCAGGCTAAATGCTTTTTCTGTAACAGTGTGTGGACATAGAATAAAAAAGGGTAGTGCTCACGTTAAGATGGAGTTGATCTGTCCAGTGGCCAATGATTTTATATTCAGCTGTTCGGTTTCGGATCTGGTACTGGTAGATCTCGTAGCGTCCAGGGGCGTCTCCATTTTCATTGAAGAGAACTGGGTTGCCAGCTATGCCTAAATGAAGGAACAATCGTCACCATTTACTGCATATCATTTAGTTATTTTCTGTGTAGTGAGAGCAAACTAATGTGTTACTACAGTTAGCACTCCTGTATATTAGAAACAAATACATATATTTTTGTATCTAACATTTTTCTTTTCATTTTTCTAATTTGTCTGGAAATATTTCCCTTAACTTCCGTGGCTGCAGGAGATGATTCCTTTTGAGAACATACATTATATGATTTTTGTTTAATGCCTACAGTCAGAGTCAATGCAGGAAGTAGTTGTGTTTCAACTTCCCTGCTATAACAGCAACAACAATTTTGATCGTGATCATATCAAGCCTGGTTCCATACCACTGAATCACTGCCTACATCTCCAATATGTTTTGCTTACTTACAATCAATCCATCAGAGCACGGCAGATGCAATGCTAAAAATGGTAAATGGACTTATAGAGCGCTTTTCTACCATACCTGGACTAAGCACTTGACAGATTCACCCATCCATCCATTCACACACACGCCACAGCTGCCATGCAATGCGCTGACCTGGCCACATGGTTCGGTGTCTTGCCCAAGGACACTTCGGCACATGGACTGGGGAGAACATGCATCAAATTGCCGACCCTGTGATCAGGGCTCTACCCTGGCGCCACAGCCGCCCTGGATGTTCTAACACGCCTCAACTAGACACCACTGAAACTGGCTACTTGAGCAACCTCTGGTCTATGTTAAAGTGCTAAGTGTTAAATTAAACTGCATACAATTGTACAAGTGTGACTATCAAACTGGCCAGTGATTATAGACACTGGTGTTTCAGATTTCCTGAAGTACGTCATCCGCCTCTAGTGTTAAAGTACTCATGGTCTTGGGAAGACTGAAGTAAAGGGGTACAAAGTATAATGAGAACAGTGAATCCATAGTCTGCCACAGTTATCGTAAAAGTACTAGGTATCTACACTTACATGTTGCTAGTTTATGCTGTCCTGTAATTGCTGCTTTTCATTTGCATTTTTTTATCTAATTTACATAGTTTTATCTGCATGCTTCTGTATGCATTTTAAAGGTTTATCTATTAGTATGCATTGTGTTAAGCACTTTGAGTGGCCTTTGTGTATAAAAATGTGTTAAATACTGTAAATAAACTTGCCTTGCATGTGCTTGTTGGTCATACAACTGGCAAAGTCAAAGTCTGCTAATAATAGAACATAATTAATAATAGATCATAATTTTAACTATAGCAATGTGCATATTGTAGAAAGAAGTCATTTTATCATCATTTTAAAAAGCAGTTCAAGTGTACCTGAATATAATCCAGACATTTGTAGAGTATTCTCAACAAAGGCAAACCCAAAGCTGTCTTTCACAACCAGCTTTGTGCTGCTAGCCAAGGAGCAATGCCCATTAATCTGTTTGACTTTGTGCATGCAAAGGACATAGAAAAACTGACTTTGAACAGCTGGATTTCTACAGGACATCCAGAGGTCTCTGACTGACCCCTCCTGAAACACTCTCAAACACACGTCTCATTATTCACACTGTCTGCCCAAGATGTCCTATGCTTTATCATTGTGATAACAGTGTGTAACAATGTATTCCCGTGTGCTGTTTTAAGATGAGCTGTAATGATGTGTCACAAAGAAAGCCCACCAAAGATTCCTCTGTGAGCTCCCCAGTGAAAACTAGATGAGCCACATCTCCCATCCAGTGAACCATGGTGGAACTGCATGCCTAATTGCTTCTATACCTTGAAACACTGATGGAAATTATAAGGGCTTGCATTTGTTTTTGTTTTGTTTTGCTCACAGCTGGGTTATTATTAAGACTCCCAATGCACAATGAGCAGAACAAAAGGGTAAACATGGCCAGTTGCTGCTGATGGATTTCTGATGATGAGCCTTTTTTACCCTACTATTTGTTTTGATGCTAGAGGATGCAGCACCCTAATCCACATCTCGATGAGTCAGCCCTGCTGGATTATGGCATTATCGTTTTACTCATCCTTGCCTCTGTGACAATGCCGCTCACATCACAAAGCAGTTTGTGATCATGGGAGGATTACAGTGACTTTATGAAGCAGAGAGGCATTATGTTTTTATATTAAACATATCAACACTGTTGGTAAGCTGTCATATTTTCTAACAAAGATTTTAATCGTGTCAAGCCTGTTTTTTTTTTTTTTCTTGTTCTCCAATTTCCTAAGCTTTTAAAGAGGCTTTGAAGCTGTCTGCCTTCCACTGTCACAGCTGGGGTTATGTGCTCAATCCTGTAAGTGCTCATATGGACACCGCTGTCACTGAAAGAGGAAAATTGGACCCTGAATGGCACACTGGTGGTTTCAGGAGACTAATGCAGCAACAGTACCAATATAACACTGCTGATATGATTATATTTAATGGGTGTTTTGGTCATGCTTGCTTTTCAAATTAATACCTTTCATAGGTTGATAGCTCTCTTACTTTGAGTTACTGTAAATGTGCTTCTACAGAATATGCACATATCACAGCTATTACCACTGCTCATTTATCACACAAGATTTGGTAGTGATTAAAAAGATAAGCCAAATCTTATTTTTCCTGGACCATATAATTCACAGGTACATGAACATAAGCATATATAGCTGAAGAGGTTGACCAGTTTTTTTGTTTTAATCTGACAATTTTATGATCCCGTTTTACTCTTACACAGTTAAAAATATCAGTGATTTAAAAGCCTCATAAACAGTAAACTAAAGTTACTAACAAGGTTATTGTTTTTGTTTTTTGTCCTTGCATTAAAAGACCTGTTTGTCAATCTGGGAGTGACAGCCTGTGCTTTTGAATTCAGGTGGTGAGGCAACCTTTTCATACATTGTGCCTTTAATGTTGTTATCCACACTATTTTCAACCATTTTCCATCTGTTACTGGCTGAAAAAGACCCAGATCATGAGAGCTTCTGCTATGCTGCATCATATGTCAGATACATTACTGACAGAAATGAGAAGTAAGTAATCAACAACAGCGGAAATGACCCTGAACTGAATGTCAGACTGACAACACTGCTGGAATAGGAGGTGATTTCTGGGAAGCACAGCAAAAAAAAAAACAAAACAAAAAAAAAAACATGTACTTAAATTTTTTTTTTTTCATTAAAAAGGTAAGCATTACCACTTACAGGATACGGCTGGTCATTTCCTATATTAACAGTCCCCATACCAAGATTAAAACTGACAATGAACTGCCTCTACTCATGGCTAATGTCCATCAGTGTGTCAGTCCTGGATTTGCTTGTTCATCTGTGCCATAGATCTTCGTTGTATCACCGCTGCACTGGGTGACATATTTCTTCATTAGCAAACCCCAGACCCGAGCTTGAAGAACCAGCTCGATGTAAACAAAGCAGAGAGCTCGCACATGCACAGCTGACTGACTTGTGTTAACCTCAGAAATTTAGGGCTGCACAGAACCTTTGGGGCAACATAGTTGGGTCTGGTGTTTCAAAATGAAAAAAGCATAGTGCAGCAGTGTATTGAATAGTTTTTGAAAAACAGTGGAGGTCTATTGCACAGACGAACAAGCAAATCCAGGACAGACGGCTGACAGACAGTAACTTTAGTCTCTGTATGGAGATTGCTGAAGATACTACTCATATAGAAAATGGCTAGCCTTGTCCTTTAAAGCAGTTATGTTTCCAGTGCTTCTTTAACAGTCTGGTGTTTCTAGTCTACAGGTGACAGTCATTAATTAATTCTTGTTTCTTCATCTTGCCACAGCAAAATGTGAGGGCTTTCTGTCAGAACAGTTAAAGGCAGTATTTATTTACTTATGATGCAATTTTAACATCACTGTGATATTTCAGTAAAATATGAACTCTTAAGATGGGGAGATTTAGTAAAATATGCAGATGCTATACTAGTTTTTGTTCCAGTTGCAGGTGAGGAATCAAGTCTGTCATGTGGCATAAACTCCTTGTCTAAATAGTCCACTTACTAGTCAGGGGCATAATGAGCTCCTTAGAGGCCTCTGCCATGGCTGCTTTATGCTCTACACTAATGTGCCGCGGCAGCCTGAGGTCACACGTGTGTACCACAGGCTACTCATTTGCTCATCACGTTATGCACTCTTTAAGAAATGCTGGGGTTAATGGAGTGCTTGTAATTATGTTATACTTAATGATTGTGGTATTGCCCCCTTCCCCCTTCTACCTCACATACACATCTTAAGAATTACCCCAGTATGATCATTAATCCAACATGTGCTTGGACACACAACTGGGACACCCTTGGTGAATGGCAGTGCAGCTTGCTGCCCTCTACACTGGTCATTAGCTCTTAATGGCCTGTACACAGGTAAGTCATGCAGAATCTCTTGAACTATGTGAGTTTTTCCTGGCCCCTGTCACTGTGATGACTTTGGCATGAATATTCAGTCTCAGAGGATATTTACTAAACCCGTCATAAATTATCATCAGATGTGTTACCAACACTGAGGATGTAAATGGGCACAGCTACAGATGTGTCAATCTGAATGTACCTCCACTTAGGTTCTTGTGCCATTGTACACATGTGGGCTGAGAGGAGTGAAGAAGAAAATATAAGTTTACAGCAAATGAACTTTAATTTGGTTGAAGGGACTGACAAACATATTTCGGAATGGCAATCACGTAGCCTTCTGCCAGTCAAATTATCTTTTATTTCAGTCAGTAATCGACTTGACTTGAAGCATAGTTTGACCTGAAAGCCTGTACAAGTCCCCCACATTCTCCTCTGGCTTGTGATGTGATTTACAAACACCCTCTCCTTCCTCAGACATGCTCTTAACTTCAAAGAGATCTCGGATGACCAACAGTGGCCACATTGGAAGCAGTGCTGCAAAAGTTACACGAGCTTTCTCTTGACATTAAATTTCAGCCACTGTTCCCTCTGTAGCAGTGGTGGTAAATCAGGCGCTGAGGTTATTTGTATAAATTTACATTCTCTCCCCCCTGATTATTTGGTCCCTGAATGGGAACGTTTTAAAATACATAGTGTCA